ATGTAAATGTCAGGCTACTTGGATGGACTAGTGTGTTTGACAAAATTCACAACTTAAATTTCCAAAATCTCACATGATGCATGTGAGGTTGATGCATTACAAAAAGAAACATCAATATAATTAAAGGCATTTATTGTCCTTTTTAAGCCTTTGCCCACCTCTCTCCTCCGTGACCCCCTCCACTGGTTCATTAAAGTAATAAATAGCGTGAGATTGACTGAGGGTTGTTGTGATGAAGATCCACAGCTGAGTGATCATGTGACATGAGACAGGAAAAGGCCAAATATGGTCCTAAACCCAGCCTTGGCGAGTCTGCCCAGCGTGCCAAGTTGGGTTTCATAACCCATATGTCTGTGTTTGCACTGTCTATGTGTACAATGCCTTGTATATGGGTGTATGCGCGTGACGATTGCATATATGCGTGGGTGTGTAAATGTGTGTGTGTGTGTGTGTGTGTGTATCCCATGGCTTGCACATATGTGTGTGTGCCGGGGTCCAGAAGAGGCCCAGCGTGGCTGTGTTCTGGAACCTGTCGTTCCCTGCTGCTCCTGGCCTGTGGTGTGGAGGGATAAATATACTCCTCTCCTCCTCATTGTTGCTGACTGCTGCCAAAAGAACAGCCCGGCAGAGCCTCCCTCCTCTCTCCCACTGCGGAGCAGGTCGTATGTGCACTGCGAGGGTCTGTTACACACTGCAGGCTACCTGAAACTAGACCTGAGTCATCCATGTGCTTTACCCTCGCACTATTCTGTGGAGTTGCAGGCATTCAAATGCATAATTCAAAAGCTATTGTACACTGAAAATAGTAATGTATTGAATTTACTTTATTCCAATCTTTACGTTTTCTACAAAATAAGATAAATAACACATTTATCGCCAAATGAACACTACAGTTAAAAAAGCTGGAATCACTTGTCATATTAATAATTACTGTTGTTTTATTTAATATTGAGGGTATTACTTTTTTCAGTGTAGTGTTCAAACTAAAGAGAGCTGCATTGCCATTATCACAGATTTGGGTCACGGTGCAGTCTTTTTCATGGGCAAGTCTGTAGATCTAAAGCAAAGTGAACTAGTGGCACATTGCCAGGAAATCTGTAAACTGCAAGGTCACAGGTTCAGATGCTGAGTGAGAGGCTCAAATTACAGCCTGAAGCAAGGATTTACCTTATGATGATAGTTCTAACAGTATAGCGGTAGACATTAGAGCTAGGCCTTGAGTTTGGGCCATAAATATAAAAAACAATAAAATAAAAGAGTACTTTATGATGATGCTAATTTCTGCTAAATTTTCTGCTAATTACCACAGGGGATTTAAGTAGTATGTTAGCGCTAAGCTAATGGTAATTCACATCAAAATTGGTTTAGATTATATACAAACATTCGAAGCTGATAAAAGACATTCTGCATTTAATTTGAAGCTTGTAACAGACAAAATAGTGCTTTACGTTGTAGCAGTTTTACAGTGACTCCTTTAGTAAAGAGCCCTGGCATAAAGCTGCTGCCGCTGTCTTCCATTTCTATCAAAAACACATTGGTCAAGCTACTATACCTTTTCACAGTCAGTGATGTATAGGGTAATGTTCTTCTTACAAAGGTGGTCCCATCCATTGAAAATCAAAATGCCATTGGTTGAATCCATTCACAGTTCTTAATTGTGTTATTGGTTAATCTGATGCATTAGGCCTTCATTTCAGCTCCCGAAGTCTTAACCAATGGGAGAGCTAGCAAGGTGATTGTCTTAAATAACAATGAGCTAAAAGCTCAGCCATGTATTTTTTATTTCACAGAAATCATTAGGCCTTCTCTGAAAAGTAAAAGCAAAAAAGCCATTACCATTAAACACCAGTCTGTGTTCATTTTATAATGCTCCTATTCACTGACTTTATCTGCTAAATTTAAGCTAATGGAAACCAGTCATCTGGACGGAAGAAGCTGTGGTGGTTAGTGTGAGTGTTCACATGTTTAATGTTCTCTCCAATTGAAACAGCTCATTCCACCTTAAACTCTTCTAGCCACCCCTTAGGGCCTCCTGCACAGTCATCCCCTCATGTGCCAACCAAGGGCTACTTAGATCTACTAACTAGATTAGGATCAGTAGGAGAAGCTTCATTATGCCTGGTCACCATGGCGATCCAGGGTGAGAGAGTGCATGGGTTAAGAGGTCATCACTCTCTTAGGGGATTATGAGAGATGGCTATCTTGAGATGGTAACACAGTTATGTGTGTGTGTTAGTTATTCGTTGAGTAATCCTAAAGGTTTGCTGACCTTTGGCCTCTGCACCTTTACTTGCTGACCAGTGCCGTGATAAGGTCACACATCCAGACGTGACGTGTTTTGTCTTCATTCATTTTTACATTCCACTGACCAGAACCTGAAAGAGCACAGTCAGATAGTTTTGACTAGTGTAAAAAGAGCTCCCTAAAGGTCCTGAGGTCCATTTATGACATCCAGTCAGCTGTCAGGGTTGAAACACTCCTTATAACTTCAAAACATCCTTTTTTTTGTAAATGGACTGCTCAGGCTGAGGTGTAAAAACTATATTTTGAAACTTTAACAACTTCTGCACATTACACCATACTGTTTTATTTCAAGAAAGCATAAAAAAGTGTTTATTCTAAGAAATAGTCCTTTAAAAATTGCACATAGACTGTGTAATTTCCTGGAGCGTTTTAAGAGGGTGCTCTCTATTTTTGGCAAGGGAATGGTTATATGGTGGTAACATACTGCTTGATTTCTAAACATCACACTGAAGCTAAGAGAAAATCACAGCCTAATTGGTTTTGTATGTGGATTCTACAGCGGAAGCTAGCTAATAAGGGTCAGCTTGCCCCACTGAGAACCCAAAGTGTGCCTAATTGTGATCTCAAATATGCTCATAATCCTTTAATTTGACAGAGCAAAGGAAACAAGTTGCTGAAGTGTGAGGCAAAAGAAAGACAGAACAAGGTCTTAAAGTTAAAAAGGAATCTTTACGACACTAACAAATAACAGAGGTGGCATCAGTTGATTCTGGTAACTTATCGCCTGCTGGTGTGGGGACTTACCATTTGTACTGTCCGTCTCCAGACACCTCAGAGCTTGTTGATTAAACAAGCATGTTGTCATTATCAGCAGTGCTCTGCTGTGCTGGACCTTCTCATGGGGAGGCACAGGTGTAAATTGCTCGTTTTGTTAAGAAAGTGAAAATGCAACACTTTAGTGGAGGATAGAGATTCCAAGGGACCTTGTGGCACTTTGTTCTTTTAGATTGATGTGAGAATCTAAAATTATTTCTCTCTCTGGTACTCTTTCAAATTCACCCACGCACATTGCACTAAAATGGCCCTGTCTTTCCGACATCTGTTCTTTTCTTGTCTTTACCCTTCTCTATTCCTTGTGCTCTCCTCTTCATGGGTTTTCAGTGCCCATGTTTGCTATGAGCATGATATCACACTCTGGTTGCTGTCCACAGCTCTGGTTTCTCTGTAGGAGCTGAAGCCGTGTTCCCTGCCACTCATGTTCTCTCACACCTGTCTGCCCGAGCTTTCCGTGTAGCACGTCAATATTTCAGCAGGCCAGAGGAAGGGCAGAGGGTGGGGGACGATTTGGCTCGAAGCTCCTTTGGCAAAGGTAGCTGTATCTTCTGGGATGAGAGAGATTGTAATTGGATACCTGAGAGAGGGACTTGGATGTGATTCATGAAAAGGCTCTGCTGGTACGATTTGTTTAAAGACCCCATATTGTTCAGGTCCACTTATTTTTAAATCCCGCTTATGTTGTTTATGTGGGTTTATGTACCAAAAACAGTAGTTATTCATTGCACAAGACCATTTACCAACTTCACCTTATCCTTTAAACAGACTCTTTTTGTTACTGTGCCTTTAAGACCGATATATGTAAATAAGCTCTTTTGTGACTGACTGTCCTGTATTGTGCCTCATTCAAAAAGCAGTCTGGGCTGAAACACTCCTTATAGTTTGAGAGTGAAGGGATGGAGCTAAACTGCTGAAGGCTAAATAGCCAAGTATATTTCAACTGATTTTAAATTGATTGGTTTTAAAACATTTTAACTTCTTAAAAATTTAGATTTTAAAGCTTGGTTTCTGTATATGGACTGTATGGACTGGCAAAGGTACGCTGTATCTTTCCAAATTTAAAATGTTTACATACTACATCAAACTACATTGTTTCAAAAAAGTAAGAAAAATTCAGTTTTTCTTGATATGTGCTGTAAAAATGCTTAAATTTTTTAACTTTAAAAAGTAAGAAACTTGGTTGCCATAAATTTTTTAATTAATTGAACTTAAAGTTAACAGAATGTGAAACACAGATCAGAACCTCAGTGAACTCAAAGTTTTAAAGCAACAAAGTTACTTTTTTATGTTTATTTTACAGTGTGGGCCCTGTCACTGTATTTATACTGTAAAATAATGGTGTTTTAAATCAAAAACTAGCATTTTTAAGTTAGGACAGCTTTTTTTAGAGCAACATTTTTTACAATGCAGTTTAAAGTAAATATAGTTAGATTTAGACAAATTTTAAGCAAGTCAGCAAGCTTTTTCTTAGATCTTAGCTCAACAGTAGAAAACAAATGAGCAGTCAGAGTTTTCATTCCCTACTCATCATGAACAAGTAGAGAACAGTTGCTGTGACTCCTTGGTGGAGATATGCCCTCTAGGCTGGAAATGAGCATGAACTTCTGTGCTTTGTTGTGTACTGTAGATCAGTCGGGGCAACCTGTTTGATCTGTTGACAAGCCAAGGCAGTGTTCCTTCCATAGTGTTTGTTGTCACACCAGCATTAGCATACGGGTGTGTCAACACAAACCCGTTTGTTGTTCCAATGACAGAGCAGCTGCATTGTGATTCAGACGTTTAGCTGAACTCCAATTATGTTGCTCTGTTTGGAAACTGTGTTACTGATTTCGCAAAAGTCCATGAATTAAGGTTCAAGATTTCTTCCTCTTCAAATACCTGTTTATCATTCTCTCTTCATGTCTTTCTTTCCTCCCTCTCAGGATGAAAAACAAGCTCTGGTACTTTGAATTTGGCACTACAGAGACCATCTCAGCCACTTGTAAGAAGCTAAATGAGAGCATTGAAGTGGAGGTGAGTTCAGGTGATAAACCTCATTAAAAACACTGTATCAAGCAGTTACATGGAGCGCCTCCACCACATTAACTGTGCTTTGGCTATGAACCAGCATGTCCAAAATTTCCACAAGGCAGTCCTTCAGAAATGCTGAATAGTAAATGTGAAATATGAGATTTCATTAATTCAATGGCTGTGATGCCAGCCACTCTCTAAATGCCATCCCCTGGGGCTGTCGCCAACTCTGAGGTGTTTCTGAAGACATAAACTGTGATTCATGAATGCAGCAGGTTGTTCACAGCTGCAGCAGACTTCATGCTGCTTCTGCTGTGTCAGGTATCTGAGCTGTGTTTAGACAACATGCCAATGTAAACGGCCCACAGCCCACAGTCATAGCAAAGTTGTGTTATTCTAGGTCAGGCTCTCAACACATGAACCAAAGAACTGGCCTAATTTTATCACGGTAAGAGACTACAATAACGAGTAATGCAGAATTACCAGCGAGGGACTGTATCACTTTAGGTTTATATATATATATATATATATATATATATATATGTGAGCAGTTTACCATGCAGTTTAAATTATGTTTTTTATGTTGCATTGTCTAAATACTTTGCACTCGTTTCCAAGTTCTTCAGCTTTGCATCTGTATGAGGTCCCTTTTTGGTGTCAGTGCCCTTCATAGAGATCCTGTTAACAATTACAAAAAATCTTCCCCAAAGTAGAAACTTCTAAATCATATAATCTTTTCGCAACAACTTGAGGACATAAACTAATTCAAAAATGACTGAAACAAATTACAGTGGAAATGGAGAGATATTACCAGCTGCAGTCTCCTGACATTTAATCTTGTTTCTTTGGTGGTTATGAATGCAATGTAAAGCGCTGCCACAGCTCACTGACATTATTGTTAAGATTGCCATGATGTTATGGTTCTTTCTACTGTAAAGAACCCTAAGGAGCCATTCAAAGGGCAAAAATGTCATTATGTTTGGATGCTGTACCCTCAGAATATCAAGAACCCCCTAAAAAGTGGAATAGTTCTATGAAAACCAAACAGTGAAACTGTGAAGAGGAGAGCAGTCTTCAGACAAAGCTTCTGTTTTTTTTGCTGCATTGTGTGGGTTCTCATGCACACTGAAGCATCTCATTATGTCGTAAATGTGTCAGCTTTCAGCCTTTTTAAGTTTGTGTACTTTTCCACTACTGACACTCAGAGTTTGAATCAGGGTGGTCATTGACATCATACAGTACTGTCAGGCATTTTTATTTTTAGGTTCTTCTGCTGAGGCATTTTTAGTCGAGTTAATTTTGGATAGACTAGGAGACTTTCTCCTGATATGTTTACTAGAAAGTCTTTTGATACTGAAATACTTCTTCAGTTTCTGTTTCTGTGTCACTCTCAGTGGTGCTTATTAAGGGCAAGGATGATAAAATTTATCATTCTTTTGTTTCATGCTTGAAGTAATTTGTGGTCTTATACTTATCACAGAAAGAATGCATTTCCATGCTTCTATGTCTTTGCTGCTTTCTCTATATACCCTACCAAATGATCTGTCATAGAAAGCAACCATCAAGGAGTTCAAATTCCTTGTACTTTAAACCCTTAAGCTATAGGCTAATTATCCAGTAAGTACTATCATTCTGTACTCTTAAACTGCTGTGAAAATTTGAAGAAGGAAGGTCTGCACACACTAACAGTTCCTTAAGGGGTTAACTGTAGGACTGTGTTAGGCAGGCATTGTGGTCTTCTTTGCTGCTACAAGTACAGGAAGAAGGACTTTATAGTGTCAAACACAGTTGAGAATTATCATTTAAAAGCAATATGGTCTGGAAGGCCATGAAGCAATTATGGAATATTTAATCAGAGACTACTGATTTACTGATAGTGGGTCACTCTCAGAGTGAAGAATCATACCTACTGTTCCAGTATCAAATATCTAGCAGTAAGTATCTGCTGACAGTCTCATTACACACACACACATTATCTAAGCCGCTTATGCTTCTGGGTCGCGAGGGGTGCTGGAGCATATCCCAGCAGTCATTAGGCAGAAGGCAGGAAATACCCTGGACAGGTCAGCAGTCCATCGCAGTGCTGACACACAGACATATACGAACACGCACACACTCACACCTAGGGGCAATTTAGCCTAACTCCAACTGGCAAGCTGCATGTCTTTGGACTGTGGGAGGAAACCCACAAAGACACGGGGAGAACATGCAAACTCCACACAGAAAGGATCCTGGTCGCCCAGCCCTCCTTGCTGTGACAGTGCTAGCCACTGCGCCACCATGCCGCCCAGTCTCTTTATAATACAAAATATTTAAAAGGGTATTGGACTAATGGCTCATTGTGATGTAAAGAAGTTTATTTAAGGTTCCTGTTGGAGAAGAAAGTTCTAGCTTACCTTGGCCCAAACTAGAACACCCACAAAGACACTAAACTTTGCAAACATTCACTGAGAGGCTCCAGGTTAGATCAGTGTATATGGTGCACTGTAAAGAATTTCACTATAAAAATACAGTAAATTACTGGCTACTAGTTGCATTACTTTTACAGTAATCTAAATGTGCCATATTAAAAGTAAATAACAGTAAAGTAGCAGCTTTATAGTGTGCCAGTCACCTGGACCACAAGATGACTCTGATGTAGCTGTATTCAGCTCTCCTCCTACAGTAATAAGCTGTAATTAAAATGTAGTGTTCTCCTGTATTTTTACAGAACAACTGTAAAACTAAAGCAACTCAGTAGCCAGTAATTTGCTGTTAATTTACATTTAAAAAATGACTTATAGTTTTACTAGTCCTATAAATATATAAATAAAAAAATGGCAATATCAATACACAATAACATTTTTGTAAACACCTCAGTGTCCTAGCATTTGAACACAAAAAAATGACCGTAAAGACAACAAAACATGAATCATTAACATAAGAAGACTTGAATGTTTCTGTTTTTTTAATGCTCAGCTGCTGTAATGTGACAGTGTTTTACGGTACAGCCCAATACTCAGCTCACAATTACAGAGGATATATTAAGATGAGTTGATTTCCCAATAAAATGATGAGGACAGTAAGTATTCTGCTGTGAAAAAATAGTGTTAAATGTAAAATCCTGGCAATAATTAACAGTGTACCTGTGTATGAGAAAATTGTTCTACTTCATGGAAAGATTGACTCGCCTTTTCTCTCAGTGTGATGGCATCATCCTGGACCTCAGCAGCACATCTCTGGAGGGCATCGCTGTGCTTAATATCCCAAGCATGCATGGCGGATCCAACCTGTGGGGTGAGACCAAAAAGAGACGCAACTACAACCGCATGAGCAAGAAAGTACCAGAGAGGATGCCTGCTAGCACCGTCACTGATGCCAAGGAGCTCAAATTCTGCGTACAAGGTAAGTCACAGGCTGATTCCATTAGCCCACACTTTATGTGAGAGCATATTAGGCTGTCTTATATGAGAGAAGCCTTAGTGCAGCAATTCTCCTAAAATTCTACATGTCCACTGGAATGCATTTGAGGTATGTAAGTTGTTCAGAGGAAAACAGATTTGCAGTTATTTCCAGTATGAAACTGTTGTTTCTTTTCGCTCAGCAGAGTGAAACTTGTCATTTGGGTCTGCTTAATGGGCGCACTATCACTAGCAGCTACTCTGACTCACTTATTGTGAGTAGCACATAGCTCTTCAGCAGCTTTAATGAATGAGGTTAGCTTGTACTCAACTCTCTAGACTCACTGGTGTTTTGAGACTTTCCTTCATTAGTGTTTCAGGCTTAATGAGGGCATGCAGGGCTATTAGCAGTGTTAATCGTCATTTAGGGATCTGGGCCAGAGGCTGGCTGACTGTAACAAGCTACAGCTTCTCTCAACATCACAGATGCTGGTGTCTTCAGCACACTGAGCATCCTCCAGAGACACTGTGGCTGCACAAGCCTCATGACGTCAGCCTTTGGGCCCAGTGTCACCATCCATGCCTTGTAGTTAATGAGGATATGCTATACTGAGATACCATTATCCAAGGACCATGCAAGAACAGCTGGTTCAGGTGAGCTAGCGAGCTAACCTCCAGCACCAAGCCCTCAGCCCTGGAGAACTGCAGCCTTCTGGTTAAGTTCAATTCAGTTTAATTTCAACTCAGATGTATTTATTTAGCACTTTTATAGCACAAAGTAGTTTGAAGTCCAAGCCTCTAATGAGCAAGTCTAGTGCAACAGTGGCAGTGGCAAGGAAAACTTCCCAAGGAGAATGAGGTTTCACACTAGCCTCAGGAGGATGCTGTCCAGCTTCGTCCTCATCACTTTGTTGTTTTTCACTCTTCTGGGACCTGTCTCATGAAGGCAGATTTCGTGCTTAGCCACCTAACTTTGAGCTTAGTTCAGTCTGACCCTGGTCTCATGACAATGGATCATTTTTAGCAGGCTTCATCACCATGGCAAATTATGGTACATGCTCCAAGGCAGGTAAAAGTAACGGTATAGTGAAAAATCAAATGTACACAATTTTCCACATACCCCAGATATAGTCAATCAGCCAAGATGTTGGGTGTCTAATTTTGCTGCTTTAGTGCTCTGGATCTAAGAGGCTAACATTGCTAACAAACGTTAGTTCAATAGACACCCAGAATCCCTAAATACATCCTCTACATCTGCAGCTTCTCTCAACCTGCTTAAACCACCCACAGGTCTTTATTGAGGTTGCATAGATATTTCGTACACACTTTAGGACAGTGCTTGTCAAACGAGACAGTTCAGATATTTCCCTTCAACCTAAGTTACAACACACAGGGACAGAGGAAAAATGTGGACCATGTGGGGGTCAACTGTCCCCCAGACAGTTGTTTTGAGAACACAGTATGACTTATAAAAATGAACAAAACTTCATTGAGTAGCTGAACATGGGGGTGGGGGTGGGGGGGTGCTGCATTCTGATTCCCCCATAGAATCTGCCTCTCCTTCACATTCCCATATGTCACATAGACAGAGACTATAGAATACATTTGCTGTTTCTTTTCTTTCTATTTATAAAGATACATCTACAGTTTACAAAGATTAACAGCTATTTATAAATAGAAACAACAGAATTCATTCACAATCTGTAGCCTCCATTGCCTGTGTGATATGCATGCGCACAAAGAGACAATGAAATTCAGGACAACATCTGCCAAATGTGTTTAGCTACACTGCGATGTTTTGTTTATTTTTACAGTCTGTGTCCTAAACCACCTTGACAAGTCTTTGTGACCTTAGTGAGGACTTGGATGCAGTTTGAGCGTGTTGAGAGACAATTTGGGGATGTATTTACAGAAAAAAAACTTTGGTGACTATTGACTTATAGGGTTTGTCAGCATCATTGGCCTAATTGCTCCAGTGCTAAAATAAAGTAGCAAAATTTGGATGCCCAACATGTCTTGACTGTTCGGCTACACCTGGGGTAAGCAGAAAGTTGTGTACATTTTTTGTACCAAACTGTTCCTTTAAGGTTGGGATTTATTATAAACAACTCATAAATCAATCAGTGCTGAGCTTCTGAACAATAAGGGACAGACTTCTGATAGAGATGGTCTTTTTTGTGTCACTTTGGGACATTTGTGGCACCAGTCACATGAAAAGTATCAGCGAAGGGAACAAATTCTACATAGATATCTAGACTCTAAAGCAGTTACTACTCCAGTAAGCATTAACACAGTTGTCTTTTACCATTATAAATGATGTGCTTCCTACATATTTACATAGATTCCTTTGTCCTTCTCTGAAAAATAAGCCACTTGACTCCTCCTCATATTTCACATGATTGACTGTTCATCATAAACATCACACATTCATGTTCTCACACACAAGCGTTAATCATCGCATATCTGTAGAGTTAACAGAGAAAGCTGTTAACCATCATTGTAAAATGGCTTAACATTGCTTGTATTTATTAGGTTTGGTGAAGCTGAAACTTAGTCAGGAACCCTGTATAAGCTGAACTTGCTTTGATGCATAGTCTGTTGATTAGACTTTGTTTATCTGCAACAAGCAAAGTCTCATTTCTCTTCCTCCTTCATCTCCCCTTCATACTAACTCAGTTCTTCAAGCTGTGTCTCCTTATATATCATCTGAGTGCCCTCACAAGGGCCACAAGACATTAAAATGTTCCTTTAAGAAGCTTTTGGTGCTGAGGTGATGACACAGTAGATGACAGCTGTGACTTGTGTGAGAATGACATCTTAACCTCACATTCCCCCCCCGACACATTCATGTCTCTGAGGAAACTGACACCTCGTCCTCTTTTCATATGAACTCGCACTGGACTTCCTCAATTGCACCCGATATCCTGTTTTCAATTCATCACTGTTCTATTTTCACTTCTCTTTCTCTGTCTGTGTTTTTCTCTCTCCCTCACTCTATGTCTTTCTCGCTGTCTGTCTCTCTCGCTGACTCCATTCCTGTTTTTCTTCAGCTCAGTAGGGCCTGGGGGTCTCCATGGTAACAGGATTCATGTGAGTTCAGCCACTAATGTACAGAGGAGGGGTCGGGGTTGCGGGGGTGCTGCTGCCAGTGGTGTGACTCATATCAGTAATCTTTAACTGCCCTACAGGCAGCAATACTCAATCCAACACATAACGCAGCACGTACCATTACAGGTTGTAGCGCTGCCTTCATGTCTGTCGGCTCATGCGTCCATAAGAGTGTGCCGCCTTCAGCCTCTCAGAAATGCTGTGCTAGCAGAAAACTGTAGCCCTACCACCGTACTAATCATACTGAAATACTAAGAGAAAAGTGCCAGTGTGGCAGACTGATCGAGGTTTGTTTTAGCCACTTACAGCTTTGTACGCAAATGTTTTTGTCTCTTTCATTTATTCTTTGAAGCGATTCAAACCATTTATGACCATAATACCTCTGATATGATACAGCATATTGTAACTTTCCAAAGAAAAACAAGTATCTCGAAAACAGTAACTTTACAGGAGAAGGCAAAAACTTAAGTTAATCTGAGGAGGTTTTATTCCTAATCATTTTGGAGCCTTTTTGTTGGTCCATATATCATGAAATTCTTACACAATGTAAAGAACAGTTTGATGTAGAAAAATATAAATGAATAGAAATGTACAGGGTGTCCCAAAAAAATTGACATCATTTGAGATGTGAATATCTGAGTAACTATGTCCTAGGCAAACAAAATTAAATAGGCTTCATGTTGAACAATACAAGATTTATTTATCAAAATTCGAACAAGAAATTCAGAGGGACGTAGATTTTATAACCGATTTCACAAAGTTTCACAAATGTAATATCTTCCGATGCTGGTGGTCGTCCAGATCCCTTTGCTCAGCGCAGACAGCCTTCCTCTTTGAATTTTTTGTGCTATGTCCAAATCTGCTTTCCCAGGTGCATTTTTATTGAATTTTCTCAAAAATGCACATTGCACACTCTTGTTTGACTGTGTTTGAGGATATTCTAACACACAAAATACCTTTTCATTTCTAGTGAACGCCATTCTTCAACCTGAAAAAAAAATATTTAAAATTAAACTTGGTTAGTTTTTACACATTTTGTTAAAATTTGAGATCATTTGAGGGAGAATTGGCTATGTTATTAGACTACGAAATTATGTCACTTTTTTTGGGACACCCTGTATTTTTGGGGGCAGCGACGACAAATAACATACCCTATATGTTCAAAAGTTTGTAGACACCTGCTCATCCATTGTTTCTTCAAGGGTATTAATAGAATAGTTTTTCCCACTTTGCTGCAGTACCAGTCTCTATTCTTCTAGGAAGGCTTTACATTAGATGTTGGAACATTGCTGTAAGCATTTGATTGCATTCAGTTATAAGAGCATTAGTGAGGTCAGCTACAGATGTAGGATGATTAGTTCTGGATCACAAACGTCACTCCAGCTCATCCCAAAGGTTTTAGACGGTGCTTCATCACTCCAAAGGACACAGTTCCACTGTTCCACAGCCCAATTTATTTTTTAAGATTTATTCTAATGTTATACATTCTGGCAAAAATGCACTTTCTGCCAAGATAAATAGCTTTAAACAATGTTCTTGTCTGCCTAAGACTTTCACACAGTGCTGTATTGGAGAGAGAGGGAGAGAGAAGGCATTGTGTCCCACAGAGTATCTCTTAATTGGCTCTTTCTGTTGACGGGTTGTTTACCGCACTTGTTGCTTGTCTGGGGATGAGATCATGCCTTTAAGTTTCCATTTCACCTTAATGCAATCAGTAAGGTTAGACCTTTCCTTAACAGAGCTCCTAAGGTAGCATTAATTGTCATTAATGACATTCAAGTAAAGCCGCCAATAAGACAAGTGCTGCAAAATTGGATATGCTCTTGATCAGTTTTTCACTTTGCAAACGTCAGAGACCACCCTTCATTCATTTAATTTCCAGTCAGAGCACCCATT